TTCTCTGGGGCTTTGCAAAGCCACGGGAAAAGCTGGCAGCGGGACAGCCCAGACGCCCCGCGGCTGTCCCGCTGTCGGCGTCCTCAGAGGCTTTGCTCCCCGTCTCCCTGTTCTGCTGGTCTCCAGCAGACCAGGGAGACGCAGAGCAAACCCCGTTCGTAACTGCGGATCCGACATAAGTCGGATCCGCGTAACTCGGGGACTGCCTGTATTAGAATCTAATTTATTACAGATCAAAATGTGTTTAATTATATTGTTTTGCAAATACATTTAGGAATATGGTGGTGAGGTTTAATCATCTAATGCCAGTTTTCATTTTAAAATTTCTAAGGCAAAAAAGTAAAATATTTAAATTAAGTTTTTGCCATTTAACAGGCAGAAATGTCAAAGGAAAGTAGAGTTTTTTTCTCCCCATCCCTATATTGACTGGCAACCAATATCTAAGGTGGGACCATTTTGCCAGCTTTGATAAATATGGATTGCAGTTCTGTGAGTACAGATTGTATCTCCCTTAACCAGGGCTCTGTGATCCAGCATCATCCAGGGTCTGGCAGGACTACAGATGTTCCTGGATCACAGAGTCTAGGTATAAGGAGTTTGGACCACAGGGCAGAAGCAGGGATGGAGGGGAATAACTAAGTCAAGAGTCCCGGGTTGAGGGAGTAGGTCACAGCAGAGAGTTATGGCCCCTGCTGCTGGGTGGTAGCTGGGGACCAGCAGTGTCCACAGAGTCTGGCAGTCATGGCAGCCCCAGTCCCAGCAGCCCCAGAAGCCACCAAATTCCAGGCCAATGGGCCAGCAGCAAGGCTTGGCTGGGCACAGCATGGGCCATGTTGGGAGGGATATCAACATGTAGAAAGGCAGCAATGCAGAATGGCAGGGGCTCCTGGGAAGTGGGGTCAGGAGCACACTGGCTGCTGACCCCTCCCTCGGGGACTATCAAATAATCATGTAACCACTAATATTTGATGCAGTTACTTGACTATTCGGTTACATGCTATCGAACATCCCTAGTGAGCTCTCAGGTTTCAGGACCTTTTATAATCAAGTCCTAATGATCACAGTCTGTTAACTATGGAGCTGAATAATCAAGTCTCTGTCCTTTCATAGCAATCAGGTAACACACAGACATGCTCATGGGACAATATTATCTTAACAGAACACAGTTGTGCTACAGGATAACAATCAAACTTTGATTTTGGTCTGAAATCTAGAACAACTTTCTTTTTCACTCTCTTCTCCCCCCATTTCCCCACAATTCCATTAAGACTCTTGTTTTTGAACCTGGGATCTGTGGAGTTTAGTGCATAAACCTCTACTGCATGAGCTAAACCAGCTCTATTAGCTACGGCTACAAAGCAGACACATTTTTCTCTCTGCAAATGGTTACATTGCTACTAGCTGGAACAGAACACCACATCTAAGAGGTGTGTGGGTTACATATGCAGCTGTTAACATCCTCATGACGGTATTTTGTAAATCTTTGTTGTTTTCCCTGGCAATAAGAGCTACAATGCTGTTTTAATCCACTCTGGTGAGGTTGACTGATTCTTATCCTGGCTCTGCCATGTATTGGTTTGGTTAAGTTTCTTAAGTCTGTTTTCGAAAGTGGCTTCTGATTCTGGATGCCTCTGGTTTGAGTGCCTGACATGAGAAACCTAGAGCCAAAGGGTATGTCTACACTGCAGAGTTTTTTCAGAAAAACTCCAGTTATGTCCGCACTACAATTGCATTCTTTCAGAAAAAAAATTGAAAGAACAGAGGGGTTTTTCCTACATTGGTAATCCTCTTTTATGAGGAAGAAGCCCTTTCCTGAAAGAGCTCTTTTGGAAAAAGTACTTTTATCGCCAATGAAAATGCTTAAAGAATAAGCACAAACAAGACTACTTTAATATGACATTAGAGCTTCCTCAGTTTACTGGCTTATTAACATGTAGAAGTCTGTCCATGCTTTCAATTGCGAGTGAAGGCCTTGTGCTATTAACTTATATTAGACTTCACATGTTTTGGCAAATGCTCATTCAATTGAGAGAAAAATAGATATGAAAGAAAAATCAATATTGTTGCAGCTGCTGTCACAGCACCATAAAATTGAGTGAATAACAATGTTCTACACAGATTAAAAACATCTGTGAGCATATGAAAAAAATCCTATTATAGATGGCCAATATTAATGAAAACAATATTAATAATGAAATAGGGACAGGAAGTGACTTTATCCTAACATTATTCTTGTGGCTAGGTGGACTTACTGACAAATTTGAAGAAACAATTAACACTCATAGGCTTTGTAGAAAAAAATAAATATTAAGATAAGTTTGAATCATTGAGCACAAATATCTTCCAGTTCAAGGTCTGGATGGATTTTTTTTTTCACTGTTCCATTTCTATCATCTGCAATAAATTCATATTATAGACTCTACTTAGTTTCTGCTCTTAGTGTCTGCATTATGCAAACTACTAAAAACTGCATGAATAAGGGAAGAACCTTTAAGTACAGACGAAGTGAACAAATGCACAATCTAAAAATAAATGTACTGTAGTTCCTGCTTATTGTAAAGTTAACTTTTTACATTGGTATATTGAGTTCCAAAATGCTTTTTCATTATCAGCTCTCATTTTTGTTAGACTATTCTTAGTCTTAACGTACATTATGTTTTCTTGTTGGGAAGAGTACACATTTTGCTGTTGGCTGGATGTTTTCTGTAGCTGAGCATTTGTGCTGATTTTTTCCTATGAGTAAGTGCTTCTATCTTTAATGCTTCTTAGATGCTTAATTTGCCATCTTAAAAATGATCTTCTGTCACATTCTCTGAAGGCTACAGTCCCCTGTTAATTTACAGAACACATACAACATAAGCAGAGACAGGACAATTTTCCCCCATGATCTTTAACAGCTCCTCAAATCTGACCTGGAAAAAGACCCAGGATGGAGGTCTTTCCTCTTGGCTGAGACTGCTAGCAGGGATACCAATATGTGAATTCAGCAAACTGATTTAGTAAATTGCACATCTGACAGTTGGGGTGGACTGAGACTCCAAATTCTGTCCATATAAGTATTACATTTTGATTGTACCAACATGGTTCTAAAACTTTTTTCCTTGCCTTTTAATTTGCTACATGTACTAGTTCACTCTTTAAAAGCATGGCTTCTTTTACCTCCATAAATGCAGTGTTAGCAGGGAAGGTATTTATCAATTGGAACATTAAAGAAATCACCAAAAATCTAAAGAAGCAATTTTAAAAAACAGTATTTGCAACATATTCATTGAGCAAA